TTTAGTCGTATCTTAAAGTATTCCTACTGTTTTTGACAATTGACTAAATTCTCCTTGCCATTAATGACCATTAACGGGAAAATGAAAAAGACTATTTTACCCCTTATTTTCTTTCAAATTTTTCAAAATAAAACGACAACAGTAACTGCCTTAACCTTTTGAGACAAGGAGATTTATTGTTTAATCTTCATTGGGAAGGAGGTTATGAGACAAAGACGCAAGTTTCTTTTCAACAGCATCTAAGCTACGACTTGGTTGATGGACAATGGAGATGAAGCAACACAAATAAGAATTCTATTAAAGGAGCTCAAAGATATGGCTAAAAGGGCTATTGACAATAATGAATCTTCTCATACCGATTTCACAACTTTGGTTAATGAATTAATGTTGCATCGAGATCAAGAGTCATGAGTTAAATCTTCTCATTATAGAACCACTCCATAGTGATGGACCAAGTCAAGCAAGCACTCATTGAGTCAGTACTGAAACAGGGCATGCTCTTGAAACATACATTACGTAAAGATCTGAATTGGGCTCCTTTTGCATCAAACCAAGTCAAACATTCATTTTCATTGATTAAGGTGGTGTTTCCCCTTTGAGCCTTATCTATTTTTCAAGGTACATCCCTTACTTTTTTTCCTTCAAATGCTCTCAATCTTTTAATATGATTGCTTATTCCCTTGATTTTCTTTATGAAATAATGATTCATTCACATTTGTTTATTCTTTGAATCGTATGAAACCGAATCAGTGGATTTACAGATTGGGTTATGAAAAGATACTTAATATGGAATTAGAAAAGATGAAGAGCCAAGGTATCAAAGAAGGCGATGTTGATGAAGAGGTAAAGATGGAGAAAATTTTTTATTTGATTAGAAGCTCCCAAAGCGTTTGTGATTAGTTGTGACCAAAAAGTGAATGAACCCATCCTCATTTACCTTTGTTTTGAGCTTGTTCCTCTCCCTCTCTCCACCCTTCCCTTCTTACTAGTCCCTAGCTTGTTTTGCACCGCATCTAAGGGAGCAAGGAAGAAAATAGAGATGCCACTCATGAGTTAAAATTGGAGGAGAGAAGGGATGTTGGTGGTCAATCTTTTGAGAGAAAGATTTTAAAGGGTATTTTTGGAATTTTTGAAAAAACGGTCATGTAATGTCATATGTGATTTAGTGTGATGAAAAATTAACGGTAATGAAGGATTTAGTCAATTGTAAGAAACAATAAGGGTACTTTAAGGCAATACTGAAACAATAGGAATAGTATTAGTCAATTTCCTAAAAGTTAATGGTAGTTTAAGAAATTTGCCCTAATTTTTAAGGTCAATGGCATGCCACACACCCCGTGAATTTGGTAATACCATTAGACGTATCCATGGGTTAGGCTTAGGCTGAGTTTTACCACTCATTAACAGAAAATATCTATACTTAACTACCCAAGATATAATAAATATTACTACCCAAGATATAATAATACACCTATATTAAAGTAAAAGATACATACAAAATGTAAAAGACAAAATATTAATACAAATTATTACCTAATACCTATTATTAATATAATTTTTATTATTTGTAATTATAATATTATTGGGTTGGATTTAGACTTGAACCGGCTTTATTTAAAAAGTTAAAGCCCAGCCTGAAAAATAACTGAGCCTAATATTTATAACTCGAGCTTGAGTCTGCGGGCCCCAAACGGGCTTAAGCCCGCTGAGTTAGTTGGCCCATGAACTATATATTCATTGTAGTAGAACCCTATGTTTAAATATCAAACTATTTTGGATAACTTTGTTTTGTATGTTATTAAATTATTTTAACTAACTTTTATGTCTTAAATAGTTGGATGTAAAGCCAAAAGTATAGGAATGAGATGGTAATGATAATCAGCATTATTCAGTATTTTTTTAATATCACCTGCCAACAAAAGATGCTCCAACACCCTCCCAACATGATCTAATACATGCTTGGGGTGGTAAGTTCCAATCACATGTTGAACTGTGTGGTATAGACCATGGTTGTCAAAACCGGATCAGACCAGATGGTCGGATTGGAAAAATCGGGAACCTGTTAGGTGACCAATTTTAGTTTTCTCCAAAATCGGAAATTTGCCCAAAACCATTGATTTTGGTTAACAAACCGTTAATCCAGGAAATTAACCGTTTTGATTGCTTTTTACTTTTTTATTTTTTTGTCATAATGGGTTCGAACGGTCCCGATAACTAGACCCCTGACCGGTTCGGTCTCCGGGTCATTTTTAAATACCATGGTATAGACCATATGGGGAGAATGTTGGAATGCTTTTTTTTTGGGTAGGTAGAATCTGGATTCAATCAATGCAAGATCCCTTTCAACAACTTTATAGCCTTGCATTGGGAATATGGAGATGTTCTCAATGCAAGGCTACCTTGTATTGGGAACAAGTGATGTCTCATCATCTCCCGTACTTGTTATGGGGAGATATTCCCAATACAAGGTGGGGATGTGTTGTGGGAAACCCCCTTATGGGGCGCATATGTGAATTTGGCTGTAAAGGCTTTTCGGATGGTGTTAGAATGGGTCTTACACTAATTGAAACCGATCTCAGGCACCAAAAATTGTCTAGTCCCCATGAAGCAAGCTATTGATGTTGGAAACTAGACCATCGGTCACAAATTATCTAACATCATACGATTGGTGTTGGGGCCACGTCACGTTGATGGATGCTTGGGGTGGCGCTCAATTGCCTTCATACTAGGGGTGTTCACGGATCAAGTTGGGTTGTTTTGAGTCATTTTCTTCAATTGACCTGACCTAGTTAGTTTACTTATTGACGAAATCGAAACTGACCGACACTGAAACAAAACCAACCCAAACATGAAAAGTCAGTTTAGTTAGTTTATATATATATATATATATATATATATAAACTAAAATATCTATTTAAATTTAAGCTTATTTCTTTTTAGTTTTTATGCAAATTCAAAATATATATTTAAATCGATTAGTTTTCTATGCAAATTTATTTTTTTTGTCAATATATATTTAAATGTATACAAAATTGAATTAAATATTGTACAATTGTATTATATTTGTATTGGATATATGTTTTTAGTTTTTATCATAAATAACCTTTTTTTTTTCAAAGTTCAAACAAATACAAATAAAATATATCAAACTTTAACATATAGGGTATGGACTAATTAATAATTACTTAAATAATTAAACATATAGGATCGGTTTGATTTCGGTTTTCATATAATTAATCAAACCAAAACCGAACCAAGTTGTTAGTTTATTTTTTTATACAAATCGAAACCGACCAACTCGGGTTGAGTTAGACCGATTTGATTGATTTGACATTTAGGGACTGTTCGTTTACTCTAAAATCTGACACCTGAAAGTGTAATAATTACATTAAGAGGTATATTGGTATTGGTGAACTTTTCCTTCCTCTGAACTCTTAATGCAAAGAATATTGTTATGAATTATGAAAACTATCAAATATCTATTTTGACCCCATATATGAGAGTTTTTGTTTATCTTTTTGGGGTATCATTGAAAAACAAAAAGTTGTATAATTACACTTTAAAAGATAAAAAATGAGAGGAAACGAACAACCAATTTTTTCTTAAAGTTAAAAGATTCATCTTAAGAGATAAGAGTTAAAGGGGAAATGAAGAGACCCTTAATGTGAACACCCCTATTTCATACCGTTATTTCTTTTATTTTAGCCGGATGAAAATAAAAATAATTAAAGAAAAAAGAAAAATCATGCGGCAACATCAGACGGACAAAATGATTGTTTGAACTTTGATAAACCGTTGTACCATGGAAGTCTCGGTGATGTAATGTAGCATGATATCGTGCCACGAACGATCCGACATTGTTGCGTCCTGAAGAGGGTACTTTGTTAAGTTGGGGCCCATTACATTACACAATCTGGTTAGACAATTAGACACTAATTAATAGTGTTATTCAATGGAAAGGCGTTTAAGGAAATATGTGAGGAGTGGACCCACCATTTAACGGGCCCCACCTCTCTCTCTCTCTCTATCTATATCTCTCTGTCTCCCTCCGTCGTTCTTTGAATTCTTGTAATAAGGTGCGTTGTTGTTTTCATTCGATGGATCAGATTGGATTAGAATTAGGATATATTTAAATTTAATATAGACATTTAATATTGATATATTTATAAATAAATAAAATAATATAATATAATATAGAATCCGATTCTTTCTGGGCGTTCGATTAATTTTTCAGTTTTTTATGCGAAATGTACTCTATACATATACACACACGTAACATACATACATACATATTATGTATTAATTGTATAGATGGAGTCATCACAGATAGAGACCTCTACGAGTGACACGACACGTAGCAATGACCACGGCCTGTATCTCTTTTCTGCTTGGCAAGTGGCAACAACCAACGCCTGTCGCCTAACAAATTATTGTTCTTTTTCAACTACAACTTTTATGTCCGTCGTCCTTCGCTCCTCCCACCCCCACTCATCAGTCATTACCCCCTCGGCCCCTCCTGATCCAACCCAACTACTACAATCTACAAAGCCCGTGTTTTATCCCCAATTCCACCTGCTTTGTTCCAAGGAATGACGTAATTTCGTAGAACTACGAGGGATATGACCGTCCCGTAGGCCGTAACTGGTTTGATTAGATGAACATTGAACAGTGATATATAACTGCCCAGTTCATCGTTACAAAGGATCTAACACAAATCGGACGGTTGGAATTACCTGATCTAGAAGCCAAAAAGACAAGCAACCTGAAAGCTAGAGCCAGGGGTCCCACCTCAGAAGCGGGGCCTAGACGGCTAACGGCTTCACGGCTAGTAGTAGTGGGCCTATCACCTATGGCCCACTCGAGAGTCAAAACCCTGAGCTGTTGAGTCAAAATTTCAAGGGCAAATTGGTAATTTGATGCTAAGGACGTCCCTTTTTTCGTAATTACCCTTCCAATACGGAGACGCGAGTCATCAGGATTTTCAGGACATTTCCCGCAAGCACACTCCTACTTACCGCATTTTTCTTCTCTGTCTTTTTCCGAGTAGCGCACGGACCGGAGTGCCCATCGCCTGTGTGTCCCTCGAGACACTCCACTGTGATGAAACGCTTAGATCTAAAACCAGAAATCTCGAGTCCTAGCTCCGATAACGATCTTGGTACGTTCGGCGGTCCGAGTCCCGCGTTATCCATCTCATCTTTCTACTGTTGTTCTTTGAAAGTAGACATGTACCAAGTGTCACTATTAGTTCGGTCGTGATCTCATCTCGAGTCATGTTTTCTTTTTTGTCTCGAGCTGAGATGGCTCTGATTTGACAGGATATAGAGATCTGAGAATTCTTTGTTCATGTGGTGTCTCATTGGGATGAATGTGGGGTTTTGTTGTTCGGATTGACGGGGATCTTTTAATGGAGTAAGGGTTTCTCTGGGTTTAATGATTGAATGCTTCTGGTTGAATCTCGGATCTAGGAGTTGGAATTCTTATGATTAGAACTGGTTATGCTTACTGTTTTAGGGTCTGTAATCTTGTCCATTTTGCTTGTTTTGTGGGTTTAATCTTTCTGAATTTGCAATTTTCATTCAGTGCCAGATTTTGGTGGTTTAAGTGAATTCGAGTCGAATGAAGTAGGGTTTAAGGGTTTAGCAACTGAGAATGTCATAATGCAATTCTAGATTTCTAGATGCTTGCCTTGTCACTGCATTGGTGCGTCCTGATATGTGAGATCTTGACGTGGAAACTAATTTTGTGCTCCTAACATGTTACGCTCCGAAGAAATATTGTTATTATACGCTCGTTTTTAGTCCTGGATTGAAATTTCTTTTCTACAAGGAAGTGGGTGAACATTAGTTTTGCTTTTCTATTGTTTAATGGCAGATTTGAATTCTTTGAAGTTATGAACTCGATGGAAGGCCCTAACTAGTAGATCTGCTGTAATTCTGTGTGAAGTACGTTTGCCATTTCTAGAATGTCTCCGGTTTCTGTAGTTTAGAAGATTAGCGTAAATATGTATGCTCCAGACCATGGTAGTCCATAATTGTTAAATTTTTGCGTTCTTGTTCTTCTGACTGATTGTTTACATTTTGCTTTCAGATATATGAATATACTTACCTGGTGAAGGGCCATATATCTTTGTGTCTATAAGGTAGGTGGAGTTTGCATCTTGTTTCTTGGCATATAAAGTTTACTCCTAGTGACTCTGAAGCGAAACTTTTGTACTTTCTTGTGCAATGCAGGGGGAGTTGTAATTTTTAGAAAAGCTACAATGGCAGTGACCGAGTCTCAGAATCCAATTGTTGGAGAAATAACTTGCGGGTCTTTATTGCATCAATTGCAGGCAATATAGCTTTCTTTGTTTTTTTTGTCTTTATTTATAGTTTTCTTTGGAGAGTTTGGATCTCACTTTGATAAACAGAGAAAATTGCAACAAATGATTGCAATTTCTGTGGAAACTGACCAAAAATTTGTTATAATGCAGCAAATATGGGATGAAGTTGGTGAGAGTGATGAGGAACGTGACAAAATGTTGCTTCAGTTAGAGCAGGAGTGCTTGGATGTTTACAAGAGGAAAGTTGATCAGGCTGCGAAGTCAAGGGCACAACTTCTCCAGGCCCTGGCTGATGCCAAATCTGAACTCTCAAGTCTTCTCTCAGCTCTGGGAGAGAAAACTTTTGTTGGAGTGGTGAGTACAAAGCCATGCAACTATATATCTATATTATCATTCATCTAATAGTAAGTTCCATGCTCATTTAACTAAAACTACTCTGTATCGGAAAAAAAAAACTAAAAGTACTTAAATATGTGGGCATTTTTGTATGTGCGTTGATAGATTATATATCTTAACATACAAGAATGCAATTTTATCATTTTGCAAGTTCCGATTTTCTCATAGATACACTCTTTCTTATTTACAGCCTGAGAAGACGTCAGGGACAATCAAGGAGCAGCTTGCAGCTATAGCCCCAGTTTTGGAACAACTATGCAAGCAGAAAGAGGAGAGAATAAAGGAATTTTCTGATGTACAGTTGCAGATTCAGAAAATATGTGGAGAGATTGCTGGAAACTTAAAACTTAGTGAGCAAATAGGGACTCCTGTAGTTGATGAGTCTGACCTATCCCTGAAGAAGTTTGATGAATTTCATGCTCAACTTCAAGAACTTCAAAAGGAGAAGGTGTGTTTCTTACCCTCATAAATGCTCCAGTTAGTGAGAGATGGTTCAAGTCATATTTTCTCAAAACTTGTTCCATTGTTCTATCTCTTCCATTAAATTGATGACCTCCTCTGTCTTTTGATCTTGCAGGCTGATAGGTTGCACAAGGTCCTTGACTTTGTAAGCACAGTGCATGATCTCTGTGCTGTATTGGGGATAGATTTCTTCAGTACCATTACTGAAGTTCATCCAAGCTTGGATGACTCCATTGGTGTTCAGTCTAAAAGTATTAGCAATGACACTCTAGCCAGGCTGGCTAAGACTGTACTAGCATTGAAAGAAGACAAGAAACAAAGGCTGCTGAAGGTAATGATCCTTTTAGCTATTCAGCTCTGAGTTCACCATTGCTGAACTTTGCTCATCAAGGTTATATTGCACGGCATGCACAACTCTGTGTGCTAGATAAGATATGCATGATTTTCTTAGACATGGTAATCCTAGAAAATTTAGCTTATTGACTTGTTCTTATATGTACAACAATATCAAATCATAATTTTTTCTTATTAGATGTACTGACTTGATCCAGCTGAAAAAGGATAAGTTGTGACATTCTCATCTCATGCTTGATGCTCCATATTTTCAGAGATATTTAGCTCTACTTGTGTAAATGGTTGTTCTTGTATGTACCATATCCTGAAAGAACATGTTTGAAACTTTTTTAGTTTTGTTCACCTGCAACCCAGTTGTGTTTTTCATAGGAGGAAGTCCTTTGCTTCTATTTTTCTTAATGGTCATTTTTACCTGTAAAATATTTTTTATTTGATCGGAACAATGAATTTGATTATTCTAAGTAATGTCAACTTCTTTTTAGCTTCAAGAGTTAGCAGCCCAGCTATCTGATCTTTGGAACCTGATGGACACCCCCAATGAGGAGCGTAGTTTGTTTGATCATGTTACTTGTAACATCTCAGCTTCTGTAGATGAGGTTATTGTCCCCGGTGCCCTTGCTCTTGATCTGATCGAACAGGTTTGTAAGGCCTATCTGGTCTATGTGTTTACTATGTGCTTAAGTTTAAGTGAATTTGGTAATGTTCTCTTACTATCTTGTTTATGATGTGAAGGCTGAGGTGGAAGTTGAAAGGCTTGATCAGCTAAAAGCGAGCAGGATGAAGGAGATCGCTTTTAAAAAGCAAGCTGAACTTGAAGAAATATTTGCTCGTGCTCACATAGAAATTGATTCAGATGCAGCTCGAGAAAAAATAATGGCTCTAATCGACTCTGGGAATATCGAGCCTTCTGAGTTGCTGGCCGACATGGATAATCAGATCTTAAAAGCAAAAGAAGAGGCCCTCAGCAGAAAAGAAATATTGGACAAGGTTGAGAAATGGATGTCATCTTGTGAAGAGGAGAGTTGGCTAGAAGATTACAATAGGGTATGCATGATCTCTTTCTTCTCTCCAATAACATTATGCTTTCTTCAACAGATTAGCGAGTTCATCTGACCTGTGTCCTTTCTAGGTTTCAGAGATTTAGTGAGGTCATTTTGACTTATGATTGTTGTGGGAAGGCTCTTGAAAAATTTACTGTTGTTTTCCAAACAACTTCAGAATTGGCCTTGTTGGACACAAGAACCAAACGCTCAGATCCTTGTTTCCCACCTAGGTTAGAAAATCAACATGTGCTAATGCAGATATCTTGGAACCTACTGTTTTATCAGTCATGATATCTCCTTGCTTTGTGATCAACCTCATATTTCTTAACAATCAAATTAGTTGGATTTCTATCTTGATTATGTATTTCTTGGGGTTCCAGTGAAATGCAATGATGGATGGTGGGAGTCATCTTAATATGTCAGTAAGTAACCTGCATACAGGGTTGTAAATGGATCTGTTGAATTCAATTACTAATCCAATTGAATCCAGTTATCCAGGGGCTTGGATCATTATAGATACTTGGTTGGGTTCTTTCCCTTAGGTGGTCAATGGTCACCCTTCTATTAAGGGTTTAATCAGGGTTGAGTGTATAATTGAAGCATAACACAGATCCTGTATTAGCTTGTGGAATATCGTATACGTGGTGGATTAGACTTGAGAGTTTATCTTGTCTAAGCCCAACCAGGTTCAATCTTAAGGAGTGCATTACTCTATTAACTCCAGTTAGCCTCAAATCTGTTCTGACCCCTATCTATTGATAACCGTAACTGCGGAAAAAAAAAGAAAAAGAAATCAATGTTCACCACATAAGAGAAGCATAAATATGCATGTGTAGCAGAGGACATGAGGGCATGGATTTTTTCTTCTTCCCCATTGCATTCCCATATACAAGTCATTATCTTTTCAGTTGCAGATGGATTTCTAACTCTCTAACAAGGGCTTTCTGTAACAGGATGATAACAGATATAACTCAAGCAGAGGTGCACACATAAATCTCAAGCGTGCAGAGAAAGCTCGTATTTTGGTCAACAAAATTCCAGGTATGCTTGGATTTATGGTGCTATATTTGTCATGTAGTTATGAATTTCCAGAGCAAAAGATTTTTGTTCGATTGTATTGTATGGGGAATCCTGGGCCTTCAGGAGTGGGAGGGGGGTCTTTAGAAATGATGAAGGGCATGTGGCTTGGGGCAATTGGAGTAGGAGACTCGTTAAGGGCAAAAGTTATGGCTGATATACTGGGGGTTCAGCGGGGAAGAGATTTGAATATAGAAAGATTAATCATTGAAGGTGATTCTAAGGTGGTTATTAGTTTGGCTGATGAAAAATGAAACAGCATTGTGGTCCTACAGAAATAAAATACAGCAATTTAGGTGGTTGAATAGGAATGTTCAAATTCAAATTAAATGGGTTCAAACATCAGCAAACTGTATGGCTGCTGAGTTTCTCTTGGACTCAATTGTAAACAAAATGTAAGGGGAGAGAGTAAAATCTGCTCTATAAAAAGTTTATGTAATATTTACTGTTTTCAATAAAATTAACTGTTATCTATAAAAAAGATTTCTCTTTTGTTGGATTTCATATTATAGAGTTACATGGTTAGAGGGCATTTCTGGATCAAGGGCATAATTGATGGTTTGATGCCAACACATTCCTGATGACATACAGAACAGATGAAGCTTTTTTTGTCATTGTTATCTGATGAGTCTTCCGTGGGAGATCTTCTAGGATATTAATGCATCTGGCACTTGTTGTCCAATAGACATGCATTTTGTGCTCATCATGGATATAGAATGGTTTGGTTCTTGCTTTCTGCATCTATGCCATTGTCTGGCAACTACCTTTATCATTTGAACTGCAGATTACCCAACGTTAATAATTGGTTTTCTTGGTCTTGTAGCTCTAGTTGACACCTTAGTGGCCAAGACGCAGGCATGGGAGGAGGACCGTGGCATGTCATTTACTTATGACGGTGTTCCTCTCTTAGCCATGCTAGATGAATATGCCATGCTCAGACATGACAGAGAAGAAGAGAAGCGGAGAATGAGGGTAAGTAGAATTCCACTCTCAGAACACTTATTTGTTGTTCTAATTAGGGGAAATTAAAAAAAATATGTTGATAATGATTTCATTTATGGACTGTTTGGATACCATTCAATGTAATCACTCTAAATTTATTCTGTAAGGCTGTGTTTGGATTGTGGGTGGAAGTGGAAAAGCAGCATGGGTTCTGCAATTAAATGAACAATGGGAATGACTACACCCTAGGTTCATTCTATTTTCTATTGACTTGACAAAAGATGTGGCAAAAAGTCTGTTATCCTCCATGTTTTTCCTCCATGTTTTTGTTTCTTCACTTTTAGGAGCAGAACAATGGAGTGGACCTTGTAAATCCTTTTTTGTTTCTAATTTCCATTTCTGTGACTCTGTCCCAATCCAAACACATGCTAAATTCATCATCTAGATTCGATTCATTTTAGGAAATGTTATATGAATAGGGTTGAAGTCTTTTTTAAGGTTTCAAGGTTATCTCATGTTTCTATTTTTTTTGTCATAGTGAATTTATTTTGGATGAACTGCTTTCAAATGCTGAAAAGAATTTAGAAGGAAATGATTATTATTTCCTTATCTCCAATGCCTTCTTAGAGCTTTCCACTAGGTGGCCATCCCTGCATCAGCCACTTGGGAGGTTGTGGCTGATGTGGCTTATCCATTATATTGAGATATTTCTGAAGCAACACCAGTCCCTGAAAGTTTCGATTCTGGGATTTGATTGCAATGTACCAAGAACTATTGGGTTGAGACTTAGCCCTCGGATAACATGAGGGTTCTGAGACACTCTCCCATGGAAGATATCTTGGTTTATGACCTGTCGAGCAAAGTCATCCCCTCCCCTTGAGGTGAATTGGTAAAATGTTCCCAACTTCCCATACAGATTTGTTGGTCCTATCTGATAAATAAAGGTTCCCAATTTCATCTCATGGAAGGATGATTTGCCCAACTTGGACAATTGATTGATTAGATAGGTGATCCTCTGGTTGACCTGTTTAATGCCAAGTGAAACATTCTATACCCAACCATTGCTTTGGTTCCACATGTAGGCTGCATAATATAGGACAGGCTACATGACCATAGGGTAAATGTAGCAAACATAAAAAAAATCTAACAAAAAAAGAAAAAAAATGTAGCAAACATATATGGCATATGGGTTGCCACCTGATCAGCTTCCTGGATTGTGTAGATATTCTTTTACCAAATACATATATATCTATATTATTACTATTCGGCTGGTGTTGATGAAGAGGCATTTACAGGACCAGAAGCGATTCCATGAGCAACTAAACACAGAACAAGAAGCCATATTTGGTTCAAGGCCGAGTCCCAGCAGACCACTTGGTCCAAAAAAGGTGGTGGGCCCACGTTCTAATGGAGTTACAAGTAATACTCCTAGTCGACGATTATCTCTGAATTCCCATCAAAACGGCACGAGATCCTTGAGCAAGGATGGAAAGAGAGACAATAACCGGCCTGTAGCTCCTGTTAACTATGTAGCCATATCAAAAGACGATCCAGGATCACCTGCATCAGGCACTGACTTGACTGAGGCTTCACCATGATCTTTGTAGGCTTATACAGCTGTGGTAATATTAGGTAGTGTAGTTGCAAAATTAAAGGAATGTATCTTTTTTGATAAGTAATTAGAGGAATGCATCCTTTCAATAGCAAGTAGAATTTATGGACTGGATGAGAAGTACGTTCACTTGGCATTTAGATGCTTTTATTCATAACCTTTATTCGATCTTCATCTGCATCTAGTTCAGAGAAAGAAGGAAAAAGAAATTGATGATCTTTAACAAACCTTAGAAATGCAACTCGAATTGGATTTATATGTCAAAGTTTTGAAAGAGGTGGTGATGATACGACCTATGAGTTTTATAATCTATTCCCCCTGCGATTGTGACAGAAGTTTGGATTCTAAATGGGATTTGGGTTCCGTCTAATATTGTCCAGTGGTCTCTAATTGACCAAAACAATTATGGGCTGGGGCTGGTGTACAATCTATTGTATCACTTGCTTATTTGGTGTTTGGTGTAGAAGGCGTTTTTTATCAAATGTGATTCAGTTCACATAATCAGCCATGCAATGCCCAATGCCCGATGTCCTCACACAGGGGCGCCTCATAGGCACATCCACCATGCATTGGGAACATCTCCCGTGAATAACAACTTGGCCTCCTGCAAGTATAAACGTGTTCAAACTTTGAAGTGTTACTTTTTATTATTAAAAATATTTTGCTGCGATATGGATGTGACAACTCAGAAAAAAGTAGTGTTGCTTTTCACTTTTTTTATCATTTCCCCATGTGAGCCTATGAGGCCTCCTTCCCCGAGTGGCCGAGTTATATATGGTGTCTGTTAAATTACATTTATAAAATTTGTCCCCAAGCGCCTGTTGCGTTTTCTGCAAAACGGTATTTTTGGTATTAAATTTGGCATTAAATACGGTCTATCTAACAAAATGGACAAAAATAAGAGATCACATCCGCCGCGCCTCACAAACCCTCCCTGTGCACATCTCAGTGTGTGAAGCAGCTATTTATTGAAGTTTTTAACAACGCATAGGAAGAAGGTTCAACATGTTTCTCTTTATATTCGCCATGTCCCTGTGCGCAACGAGATCGGATCTGCTCCTCACACACCTGGCGCCTTACGCTCACATCTTTTATATGTATTTATTATTATTATTATTCATGAGAGATATTCTTAATGCACGGTGAATATGTTTGTGAGGTGCTCATTTGTGAGGAACAGATCCCATCACGTGTACAATTTGCATCATCATTTACAAATGCATGCATGTCATCAATTATCATATTACGTATTGCATGCCAACATGAAATCAAGGGAATACTACTTTGCATGCATTACGTACATGGAGCAAAACAACCAATATTGGTATTGGGCATATCCCTAGCCGTTTACGATTATCTACAATTCAGTCTTCCCCCTCATCGGTTCTGGACTTTGATGAAGAATTTCAGCTCCGTTGAGAATACGAGGCTCTTCTTGAGCAAGACGAATTGCATGTATTGGAAACAATTAATGGTCCAGGGTAGATTGGCTACAGCCTACAAGCGGGTGATAGAAATTCACGTTTTTATTTTTATTTTTCCATATTTCAGCTACAAACAGAAGATTGAAATATGGAGCTGAGCCTGAACGGATGATATTAAAACTATCCAATAAGTTAAATTGTATGGTCGTTATTCCAATCTGTTATGGACTACAGGATTGGTAGGGCCCTTCATAATTGATCACATAATTTTTCATTCACAGTATCAATATCAGGTCCAACTATTAATAATAATAGTGCTTCAATTTCACTTTAATTTATTCAATTTTAAAAACAATTAATTTAAATTTATTTTTTATTAGTAAATAGTAAAGTCTTTCTAACCGAAAAAATAATGCTTGGGCTTAACTCATATTAGTTTGGCCCAAATGGGAATGTTTATTCTAAAAAATTGTGAACGTCTTAGGGCTTCTTTTACTTCAATTTTGTTTGACAAAGCCCATGCATCTCACATGTCCCGATTAGTTTCCTCTTCAATCTCTTTGACTCTCTTAATCCCTTTTGGCTCTCTACAGTATGGGTATAAAATTGGTAGATTGGGTTAGGTTAAGGACCAAACCAACCAACCCTAAAATGGACCCTAATTATGACTCAAAATTGATGTCAAGGCAAAACCCAAATTTGCCAACCCAAAGAGGGGTGCAATTTGGGTCGGGTTTGTTGGGAGTTTGATAAATGTTCAATGGGCTTGAACCCTAACCCAATTCTGATATTGAAATTCTTCAAATTTTGCAACCTGGCTTGCAGCTAGGGGTGAGCATGGGTAGACTTGGTTAGGTTCCATGACAGAACTTTGAACTTATCCTGTAAGGGTTGGTTCTAGATTTTTGGAACCAAAACCTATCCTATGAAGGTTAGTTCCAAGGTCGATTTTGACCTTGGCAGTCCCGGTATTGATTCCAGGGTTTACATGTGGAACCACTTATTCTTTGTTTACTCCCCCTTAAAAATAAAACGTGTTCTTTAAAAATTTGATTTTCAATGAATATAATATATAGTTTAAAACTTGTATTATCTTTATTGATTAAATTGAGTAATTTAATATGTAGATTATATATATATATAATATATATAGTTCAAAACTTATTATTATAGTTTAGGTTTTGTAAGCATTACCTTTTACATTACTTATTATACACATTCAAATATTAAAATGAAAAAAAATGATCAAATCATTTAAGTAACTCAATGGTTAAGTAAGACCTTGCCTTTGGAACCATGAGTGCTAGGGTTCAAATCTTCACATCCTCAAAAATATTTTGGAGTTTATTTCAAGGCAAGTTTGGTTCCAAGGCTGGTTCCACTAAGTCCAACCAAGGTTTGTCAGGGCAGTTTGAGTAGAGTAAACCCCTATACCCTAGAATTGGCTTGGGTGGGAGTCAATCCTACCCTGTGATATGAATAGGATATCCGAATTTGACCATTAGATATTTGAATTATTTGAATTCGATTCGATTATGTCAAATCTCGAATTCAAAATTGGATTTTTGAATACACACCCCTAGTTATGGGTAGAACCTACCCATTTGCTCACCCCTACTTATAGCCCTAAATTAGGGGTCATCATGGACCAATCTAGATTGGGCTTGAGCCTACATGGCCCACGTTGAGCCAGGCCTGATTCCAGGCCTATAGCTTTTGTATGTAACATATGAAAGGTATTTTGTACTTCCTTCCCACCTGTAGTTCAATTTGTGAAGGTTGTTCTTAAAACCTTAGTAATGGCAATAAAACTGCTTTTTTATTCTTCTCCAATCGCAACTCAAAAAATTATTTCAAGGAAAAAAGGAGTTGCAAGAGCTGTGCATTTTTCCTTCAAAACAAAGATTGTAAAATGCAAAAGGGGATTTCATTTCCTCAATTTTGGAGACAAGAGTCCAAGAAAAATAAGAAAAGGATTGCATATTAGTTATGGTACAATCTAATTTCATAATGTTTCCTACCATGAGGTCTTGGGATTGTCCATTTAGCGGGTTTTTATTTTAATCTCTAGAGTTTTGAGAACATGAATTTCAACCAAACATGCCAATGGGATGTAATTAAAGGCAATTCTCATATATGCCTTCGGAAGAAGTCTGCCATGAGAAACCAACATCTTTACTACCCAAACCAATTTCATCTTCTTCCTATTCCCCTGTTTCTTCATTTGTTTCTAACAAACTTTTTTTTTTTTTTGGGGGGGGGAATCAATCAAAAAACAACTGATTCATTTATGAGATTTGTTGATACATATACATATTTATCAATCGGGGCATAAGCAGTTTGGATCAAGTAGGCACAACATTGTAAGCACGTTAAATGAGCACTTGATAAATTTTTTTGACTACTTTCAAAATATTTATCAAGTGCTCATTTAACGTACTTAATTATATTGTATTTATTTAAATCTGGTCCTGGGCATATAGGTATCATGGTAGTCAAGGCCCTTTCTTTGGGTTTAGCCTTTGGCCACCAAACAAGCCTTATAGCGTTCAATAGATCCCTCCACATTGAATTTGATTTTGTACACCCATTTAGACCTAATGGGTCATTCGCCCAATGCCTGTGGTAATTCAACAATAGACCATGTATTGTTGTGTTTGTAGCACTTCTATTTCTTCAGTCATGGCCTTTCGCTAGTGAGCATGTTTAATAGCTTCAACAAATGTGGTGGGCTCGACCAAGGAGGATGGGTCCACGGTTGTGGTTTGGATGGTGGTGTGGGTCGTAGGCTTAAGTGATGGAGGAAGTAACACCGGTAAAGTTGTGAATTCATGGAATTGTTAATATTGGGTCAATGCCAATTATCATGAATTGGATTTGCAAGCTGGTCAAGTTGTAAGCTTGGTAGAGGCCCGTCATCACTTTAGGGCAATGAATAACAGGATGGGAACTAAGGCATTGAGTAATGTCGCAAGAAGTAAAGATGGTGTGTGTGGTCAAGTCATAAACCCAATAAGCCTTTTTGCGCATAAGATTATGTTTGGATGCAGTGAAAATGAAAAGAATGCAAATTTTATTTTGAGTTTTACCTACTTTAGATCTTATTTTACATGGTTTGTAATGCAATCAAAACAAAATAAGGTAAATTTTGGAATAAAAATAAATCACAATTTGCACCAAAAACATTTGCACTACCATAGTTTTGTATCAGTGTAAATAAATTCACATTGGAACCAAACACAGCATAAGAGTAGCCCATAAAAACATATTTCTTAGCACAAGTATCAAATTTATGACGTATGGGTGATGTGTTTTGGCCAAAGCACAAGCAACCAAAAACTTGCATGTATGTGAGTGGTTTATGAAACAACATTTCCATAGGCAATATGCTGCCCATATTGCCATTAGTGGTATCCACACTCATGCCATTGTGACATCCCTTGTGCTTGTGCGTAAATCATTTGATCTCATTGTTGATGGCATTGAAAAGCATGGTTTTTAAAATCGAACCGGTCAGGGCATCATTTTCCGGTTTGGTGGTTCAATCGTCCAGGTCGAATGGTTCAATCCGTGACATTATAAATAAATAAATAAACAAAAAATACTTATATATAATAAAAAATACCATAAAAATTTAAATAAAATACAAAAAATACACAGAAAAATACAGCAAAACAACATATGAAAAAAATAAAACTATCTAAATATAAAAATAGTAAAATACAGAAAATACAGAAAAAATTCCAAAAAATATAGAA